AAAAAACGATCCGGGGCCGCGTTAACATCGCCCGCCACCACTACGCGGATCGCCTCTGGTACCTGATCCCCAAGTTCTCCTAAAAAAATATTTCTTTCTCCTACACCATTTAGGAAGTATATGCATAGCATGCAAAGTAACTCCATCTCCAGCACCCCCAGCACCGACACCCACCGCCCCTCACTTTCGTCTACTACCCAATGCAACATCTCAAACCTAGTCTTGGGTGGAATCCATACTGCCATCCCTGCTGATCCATGTCTTGGGGGTTGGGCCCACAAGGCTTGGTGGGGCCATATCAATCGTACAGCTCTGCGGTGCTCTGGTCGGTCCATCAAATGGGTTTCCTGAACGTAGATCACATCGGGCCATCGCCTCTCTCCAACTCCCTTTAGCAAGTCTCATATCGCCTGTCGTTTTTTCGGATTATATGAGGTCAGGCCGTTCACGCTAAGTGAGCGCATGTCCAACTTCGTTGTCCGTACACATTGTTGTCAGGCCGGGTTTCTACCGTATAGTGTGTGTATGTCGTCAATTTTTAAAGTCCTTGTGCACAACCTCTGTTTTGATGGGTGTAGGAGACCGTGGCCAAAGTGAAAGAATTTTTTCAGAGGGGCCTACACTGGATGTCATTTCTTTACATCCCATCTGTCTAAGGACAATACCTTTTCCATGAGATGTTGCACAAGCATTTGCACACGTCCTCAGCGGAGCAAAACATGTTCGCTTTTAAATCAGGTTATTTCTTATTCTATTACTGCCTTTTTAGTTTGCCAATAAAACCATACATAAGTTATGTATGCTTTGAATTGGTTTTTTTTTAGTAGGGAAATGTTTAATTTGTAATAACCCGGGCCCTGATCCGGTCTTTTCTGGAAGGTCAATGCAATCATGCATGTCCTATGATCAAGATCTGGGGTTGGCTGAGATCTTAACCAACCGCCCTGATTGCACAGTCGTGTGGCCCCCCAGCCAGGGGGGTCTTCACTGGTGTGAAACTGGCGCTGAAGCAATAGAAAAAATCATCATCATCATCATCATCTAGGTGTTTATATCTTGATCATCCACCCATATCTCAGCGTACCCGCTGCTGTCGTATCATATGGGCCACTGCTTGCTGTTCGTCGGGGATAAATAGCTATCGTGACACTCTTCAACACTAATGTGTCTTAATACTAAGACACATATAAAGTTTTGCCAATGTGTTAAGCTATTCGCTATGCACGCGCATGGTTGGCAGCTGCCCAGGTTGAAATATTGGCAGTTGCACACCAGTATATTGAGATAATGTAATCCGGGAGCAGGGCTGGGGTGGGGCAGCGTGGGCACGTGGCGCGCGTGCATGCGGCAGCCTTGGCCTTGGAGTCATGATGGCGCTCCCCTTTTTCGCCAGATGTGCGTCACTCAGCGCTGTTCACTTTTCCTGCTGTTTCCCGTCTTCTGACTCCGGAAAAGTGCGCTCCCCTTTTTCCCCATGTGCGCGTCATTCGGCGCTACTCGCTTTTGCCGCTGTTTCCCGTCGTCTGGCTCCGAAAACGGTCAAAATCCTGCTATCGGGATTACACAATGTTCTCACACTTGCGGGATGGGACGGGTGGGAGTGGGGATCGTTCCCGCTTTGATACTAGTGTGACGGATCCGTCGGGATGGCGGTCCGCCGGGATCAAGACGAAGGGATGAGGATGGGGGAGATGGAGATGGAGCTGGAAGGGACAGCGCAGCTCCAACGCAGACTCAACACGCACATACTCCAAACTGTGCAAATGAAAAATGGTACTGAAAACAGACTGCAGCTGGGGTATCCCCCCAGAGGACTGAGTGGACTGGACTGGTATCGACATTGGTACCAGGAAGGACTGGACTGGACTGAATGAGC